TGTGTGTGTGTGTGTGTGTGTGTGTTTTAGCGTGGGTCCTGAGTGAGCTCAAAGGAACCCAAAAGCTCAAGGATGGTCTTCAAGCAGCACTTTCAAGCCTTTTTCTTAAAAAACAAGCAAACTAACAAAATCAACTTCCCACCTAGACCTGATGCATGATGCCAGTGGATCATGTCTTCACTCCCTAATGTCACTGTGTTCTCAGCTGGGGCCCTCGGCTACAAGTGACAGAACTCTGACTGAGGCTGCCCTAAACCCAGAGGCAGCCAGGAGAGCAGCGGGCCGAGCTGCAGGCACAGCCAATCCGGGCACTCACAGGGTGGCCAGGAATCTCTTCCTCTCATTTCCCTGAGCTGGCGTCACTTCCCGCAGGCCCTCCTCACATGGAAGCAAGATGTCGGCTGCTCTGGACTGCCTCCAGGGAACCCCTGCACGGCCCCTCACTGCGGTCACTGCAGCTGGTGACACACAGGGACACACACCCGATCCTGCAGACAGGGAAGGCCAGCCCCAGCCACATGGGGCTCCCCAAGGAAATGGGGGTAGCAGATGCCAGGAGACAAATCACCCCCTGCTCAGATTTGTGGGTTTCCTATTAAGAAATGTTGCCGCAGGCCTGCCGGCGTGGCTCAGTGGTTGAGCATCAACCAACCTATGAACCAGGAGGTGACCGTTGGATTCCCAGTCAAGGCCCACGCCCGGGTTGCAGGCTCGATCCCCAGTGCAGGGCGTGCAGGAGGCAGCCAATCAATGATTCTTTCATCGTTGATGTTTCTATCTCTCTCTCCCTCTCCCTTCCTCTCTGAAATCAATTAAAAAGTACATTTTAAAAATGTTGCCACAAATACCTTTCTCCTTTGCTGGCTGACAGCTCCCACACAGTAAAGATACTACAGGCTGTCCCGGAGCCCTAGAGGTTCCCTGCACCCCAACCATTTCTGCGGCTCCTACCCCCTGTCAGACCTTCCCCAGTGAGCCTAGCTGGTTCCTCCCTTCAAACACAGCCCAGAGCCCCCCTGCATCCGGAGCCAGCGTCCACCCCAGTCTTGGGCTGGCTCTGTGTGCAAACTGCCTCCTTGGGGCAGTGGGCCGGGAACCAGGGAACCAGTGGCCCGGGCAGGGGGCAGTGGGCGGGGGCAGTGGGCCGGGAACCAGGGAACCAGTGGCCCGGGCAGGGGGCAGTGGGCGGGGGCAGTGGGCCGGG